TCTCAATAAGCACAGGGACGCATCTATACTGTCTCTTATACACATCTATGTGTATAAGAGACAGGACCTGCCCTATCCCGCATCTCGGCGCCCCTGTCCCACTGGTCTACTAACTGAACTTTGTATGTTTAAATTGATAAATGAAATGTTCTTGTTTCGTGTATCTTTTGCTTTTTGTCAAACAATGCTGGAAACTATTTAGAAAATGATTAAATTCACTATTATTCTTTTAGGCTTTCATTTAACACAATTTTTGTTGGCAAATTGTTTGCTTTTTTTGGTATAATACTTATCCGAATAAAATATATATGAAATTAAGTAACAATAATAATTAATAAGCAAACACGTAAGCAATACACAATAATATGTAATAAACAAATAGAACAAGTAACTAACTTGTAATATTTATTTGTTTACTTTTGTGTGTACAAATATTTTTAATAGTTAAAACAAAATATGTAGTCCTGTTTATTATTTGTGATAAAGTGTGTGTAATGTAATTAAGCTTCACAAATATGAACAAATGTTAAGTACAAATTACCAGAGGTCAAAAATTCTATATATTATTTATTTCCTATTATATTCTCAAAGTATTAAATAAAATACAATTAATTATATCCAAGAGTATAAATATAGTGAAGATTTTAGAAATATGATTCTAAAGAACCGTTTCGTCCAGTCCAGCAATGACTGCCACCTCCTAGAGAACCAGCGAAACGCAAATCAACCTTGATGCATTCCATACCAAGTTTCTCGAAAAGTCTTTAAGTAGGAATCTCGTTTGCATCTACTACCACCCGTTTATGGTCCAACATCAGAACATTCATTGACAGCCATGTTGAAGAAAACCACATCGGGTGATCTGTAAAACGTGCACAGAAGAAAATATTATAGAAATATAATTGTATAAATTACACTGAAAATTGTGTTCGTTTTGTTGACTGAAACAGATAATGATGGCGCTGACACTGTACTGATTCTAGAAAATATAATGATAATGTAGCAATGGCGTTCACTGCAACAAGGATGGCAACGAAAAAACGACAGCAACAGCAAAAGACACAGCACAGTCAAATCAAAATCACTGTGACTATCACAGCCACTGTCATAACCACAACAACAATCATAATACAATCATAATATCACTTCTTCTCAAGTTTCTTCTTCAAATTCTCAAAATCATTATGAAAGTTTCAAAAGCAATTTGGTTTGATTTGAATTGAATTTATTCAGCAATCAGAGTAAAATACAAAAACAATGAAGACAAGAAAAGGAAAAACAAATACAATTGAAAATTCTTAAAGCAATGAATAGCACATAAAGGTTTCAAAGAAATGTATTTCCATTGGAATCCTGCAAACGAAACATTCAATTGCTAAAAGAAAGAACAACAGCAAGGGTATCTACAATTAAAAAAAGGACACTTTGTTAAAATTGAAAAAGGATTATTTACAATTTGAAAGTAAGACAAGATAAAAAGATCAACAATAATAACAATATGACTGGCTTCTAAAAGTCTTTCCAAGGCATATTCTGATATAATTCATCATTATATTCATTTGATATATCTTTTAATATACCGCTTGGTGTTACTGGATGAGGTGCCTCAACGACATCCCACCCAGCCTTTGAGAAAAGCTCTATCTGATAGCAAGGTCTTTCTGGGTTGACTAAAACCAGACCAGGTCTCAATAAGCACAGGGACGCATCTATATGCATCGGAGCATCGTAGAAGCCACTTAACACCCATTCGGTTCATTGTCTGAGATTGTAAATAACAAGATTGGCATCCTCAGTAAAACGTTTTATTGAAAAGTGATTTATTATAGACCTATAACAGTAAAACAATATAGAACTCACATGACTTAACTGGCAAAAATGTCCTTTCCAGCACATTGAAAATCACCAGCATCGAAGCAAGGTTCAAATTCTGTCGTCACAAATTGACCTCTAGCTGGCAATTCTAGTCTCTCATGGGATCCAATATAACCCTATAAAAGGTTTAATAATTAAATATTACAATTCATAACCAAGTTCAAACTCTGACCAAGATTACAGTACCATTGATTTACGCTTGTTAGTTGTTGTGTTGGCCTTGCATCAATATATTTTGCAAAAAGAATATTAAACAATAACGACACAATCCACTTTTTAAAAATTTATTTATTTATTTACACTCTCATTCTACAGCGGGAAACCTGCCACTTACAGAATGGATTAAAATATTAAACATTAAAATATGGCAATATGATTAATATAATAATAATAATAATAATAATAATAATAATAATAATAATAATAACAGTAACAATAATTCATCTTATACAATTTTACAAATTTTCTTACAAAAACATCCATACCTGTCAAAGAAAAGGTCAATAGAGTTGTCTTTTTTAATTCCAGTGTGTGAAGTCTGTTTTCGCATATGAGTGTAAAACACCATTTTGGTGACCAGATACAATAGAAAGTAAATTTTGTATAAAAATTGTCATTCAGAACTAAAGAAAATGGAGCTGAATGAGTCGATCGGAAAACTCTAGCAAAGCATATTTCCCGGGAAAGTGAAAGAGACTTTTAGACAAGTACCAAGAACTCTTTGCACAGAAAGAAATAAAGAGAACCATGTAAAGTTGGAAAGACCTTGAAGAAATTCCTCAGTATAGACAGATTATCATCATCATTTTATACCCCAAAAGTCTGCTTCTTTGGGCAGTTTCGCTTTCTCTTTTACCTTTTTTACTAACAATCCTGCATTACTGTTAGAACTTGTGCTTTTTCCATATCATCTCTATGATCTTTTATCCAATTGTTGGTGGTACATCTGATTCCATAAACAAAATTTGTTTCTGCCACTTGTCATTTGACATCCTTGGAGTGGAGTGAGCAGGGACAGGGGGAATTTTCCCCAGTCGGACAGACCTAAATCCCCTATCGTCCGACGCACGCGACTAAGTCTTCGGATAAAAAATATATAAATTATTTGCCTATCAAAATGACGTAATTTTGAATGCCAATCCTAATATTGTGGTCTAAAAGCACATTTTGTACCATACTAAGCCATAAAAACTCTCACCATGAACCCTACAAAAGAGTTTCTATTCCTGCTCGGACCCCTCCGTTGAACATGTCAGATCCCTTGTCGGCAAATTCTGGCGCAACCACTGGTAACATGTGCAGTGTAACTACATGATGGCGCATTGGTTAACAGTGAAACTGCAACACCACGCCACATTTAACAATTTTTATTAGAAGAAAATGTTAAATTGAAAGGCTCTTTATAGAAACATCTACTGTAAAGCCTAATGCAAAACATCATAGTATAGTACCTACCATGTCATAAAGCTCATCGCTCATTTGTGGTTTAGGGGCTGTTGTCCACTTGGCGCCCTCTCTGAAATATTCTTTCATCAAACGGCAGTATGCACGATACTCAAAGAAACAACATCTCCATGCCATTGGACTTTCAATGATTTCCTCACCAACCACAAGCAGAAGATCACGTGGCATTGCTGAATACAATCCTACATACAACATAATTTTTTTTTTTTTTAACAATCTTATTGGTTTGGGAATGGCTGCATTTATGTACCACTCTTGATTAGTACAGTAGAACAATACATATAAAACAGAAATATTATAATCATAATTGAACAGAGATTACGAATACAATCTACCACTTGTCACGTGAATACACCAACACACATTAACACTTGGCAATCATTGAATTGGTAATTGACAGCGTCGAATGTGTCATGAAGACACCTTTTAAGGTACTGTAGGATGTTAATTCAACGACTCACACGTGGGCAAAGTGTAACCTGCAAGCCACATTTTGTTGCTGCTCGCGATAACCCTGTGTACTTTGGATATAAAACCATTTGTTTTTAAGGCCAGATATATCTCAGACCCAACACTACTGTGCGGCACCAACAATAAAAATGCATAGTCAATTCTAATATAATATTGTCCTATTAGCATTTGAATGAACTTGTCAGGCCGTCAGTTTACTTACCTGTCGAGCTGAAATCAGGCGAGGAATACGATTTCAAATGATCAAGTACATAGGGTCGTTGAACCTTCACTCTTTCGTGTTCAAAAATTCGGCAAAACTCCGCAATCTCTAACGAAGCCTTCCTCATGTGTTCTCTTTAAAAAAATTCCAACGTTTTCGGGGACGACAGCCTTAAGTAAAGAATTAGAAAGAAACAGAGTTACTATATTATGACGTTTTTACAGACCCAGATCAAGAATCAAAACCATAACCACCCTTGCGTCATTGGTTCCCATAGTCAGGTAGGGCCATCGTATTCGTCGATAGATTAGGTCCCCTTACTTTTGAGTGTGTGGGAGTGCTAACATAGCTTTTCATCTCAAGAAGTTACCACTGTGTAAAAGGTTAAGCCATGAATTAGCAGCTCGCATGCCTAACGCAGTTCATCTTGCTCACAATAGAAAGAAATTACAGTTAAATTAAATGGAATGGACGTCTTTCGTTTTCTTTATTTGCATCAACACCAGCTTGCGGCTGTGGTTGCGTCTGATGCCAGTTAAGCCTTGCTCCAAAAAAAAAAAAACCGCTGCATTTTCTCTACAGCGTGGCTGTCACCGAAAACTATCGGGAATTGAAGATCTGTTCAAAAAATGCAGCCGAACATTCCGCATAGGCCAGTGCATGCATCGTCAAGCGAAGTACAGGCGGAAATGAAGTTTGAAGTTTTCCGATTATCAGTCATAGAGTCCATGAACGGATTTAGAATTCATAAACGGCCTACCTGGATTTCTGGCGTTAATTCTGGAACGGTGGCATTCTCAACTCGTCTGACGATCACTTCTTCTAAAGGATCCCATTTATTGAAGGAGCAAACTGGGCTTTTAGCAACTTGGGCTTTCTGTTTCTTGAATGCTGAGTACTTCTCGACTGTGTCAAAACTTGACATATACTGCCAAAGATTTTCTAAAATATAATACAATAATCTTTCTTAGTAAACAGTAATATTTACCAATAATATATATATATAAATTCCTCCCTTCCTCCATTCCCTCCTTTCATGGAAATTTAAATGTTATTCCATAAAACATATTATCTTCCCTTATTTTCAGAAACAACATTCAAAGTACTCCTCTTCTCTCCGCATGTACACTTCTTACCCTTCCAATTAAAACTTACACATCAACAAAAAATAACATCAAAACAATATATATATATATAATATATATATATATATATATTATATATATATAATGTATATATATATGTATATATTTATGTATATATATGAAAAAATGGTGTACAATAATTGAAAGTTGACTTTATACCATTTATTATCCATTTGTTATAAGCGACAATCGTCCTATCTCTATCACCTTAATATTATTTGAGCAAGGGTGACCATTTGTGCATCCTGACCCCAATGACCCCAACGTAGTGCGAGCTATAACTTCAACTAGTATAGTTCCATGTGCAACTTTAATTCACATTAATGTAATCGAAGTAATAATTTTCATAATCTGATTTAATTGAATGACTTCTACTTCACCACCACATCAACCACCACAAATGACTGACACCACTGATGACCACAAACACCACCACCGCAATTAGCACCTGCCACCACCACCACCATGATAACAGGGGGCACAATTTGAAAGAGGGCACTTTCGAAAGATTGGTTAAATGAGCTTACGAAACACATCCAATTATACTTCGCTGCACTTTGTGATACCTATCACAAGCTGTATTCAGAATAATACAGCAGTAAAAACATGCAAATATCATTAGTTTTTGGGAGCTGGGTTAGTTTAAAAAAAAGTTTGCTTGGTTGAGGAAGTGCAGGAGGCTGTCTAAATTTCACGGGTTGCGGGACACTTCAGACCCCTATAGATGAGTCGAGTATCAAGGCAGGGGCGCCGCTAACTACAGCCCTAACATCGGCGGTGGTTCCAGCCGCTCCTCGCCAATATTTCGGTTCTTTAAACCAAGTCTTCTCGGAAAAGGCCTTGGAAATGGAGGTCCAGTGTACACATCTGACTCGTGTGCACTTTAAATAACCCATTGCATCTTTCGGAAGAGTATGGAGTTACCCGACTTTATGGTTCATTTGAGCACCTGTCGTGGAATGATGTGACGTTACGATAAGCGACTCTTTACGGCTGCTAGTTAGTCATGAATCATGACCATGTGCAATTCAGCCGCGAGTTATGGGTTACTCTCCTACGTTTCGTAATAATGCATCATGAGTGGATTTCTCGCACAATAAAAATCGTAATAGTACTGGGCTTGGTCTACAGGTGTTCGTGCTTCAAACAGGTCATTCCATTCTTAGAAGAAGCATTTTGATGGAGAAAGTGCACCTTTTTAGCAAGGTTTGCCTAGGTCGAACTAACTCCGGCTATATAAAATTTATTAGAAGTTTGAAAAATGTTATTCCTATTAAAGAATAGATATGGACTACTACGTTTATTTTTTATTGATCTAATCTATGTCAATTAACATTTAGAGTTAATAATTATAATTGTTTAAGTATAAATTTAAAATTACAAATATTATGGGAATAATCATCTAAGTTTATAATAATATTTAATAATACTTAAATATAGCAAGTAGTAACTAATGTTACAATTATGTTATTGTTTATTGAAGTCTACAAAAAAAGATAGGAAGGAAGAAAAACAAAGAGGTCCGGAGCGGCTTACATTTGTACCAAAATTTATATAATAACGATAATGGCTCGTAACTATATTTTACGTGTTTGTAGTAAATTTTGGACACTAATCATCAAAGGTCAAGTTGTCAAGTCTACATGTTTCATAATTGCATGTTTGAAGAAGTGCTTCCAGGAGCTTCTCATGATACGCAGGAAACTTGGGACACCTGTGATAATAATG